GTTCAAACTCCTCTTATCAGATGCATTGTGTCAACTCCTGTAGTCCAGAATGCCAAGCCAAGGATAAACGCAGGGTTTCGAACCGTTTAGTATAACGGTTCGGTTCGTTCCGGTTTTTAGTTTAAAATTTTATAAAGGTTTTGTTCCATTTCGGTTTTTTAAAAAAAAATCATATCGGTTCGGTTTATAATTTATAACGGTTCTTTTCGGTTTGTTCCGGTTTTTATAAATTTAATTTTAAAAAAAATTAATCATTAACCATGTATATATTAATTTTAGAGAAAAATCTTTTTAGTTTATAATTTCTTATTTAATTTATCCATGATAATCTAATAGATATTTTTATTAAATTTAGGAAATATAAATTAGACAAATAAGTTTTTTTTTATTTCATAAATAAATAAGATATAAACAAACATGCGTAAATACAATAATGAATAAAATAATATGTATACTATACTATTTAGGTTTAAAAAGAGAATTCGAACGGATAACTAAAATATTTTCTAATATTTCAGGATTTAATTTAGTTCTCTGCGCAGAGAGTATAAACTTAAGGCTTGAAAATGCTCTTTCTACGGAGACCTGCGTAGCTGGAACTGCTAGCACAGTTATAGCTAACTTATAAAGTTCTGGCATACTATTCTTTACATTTTCCCAATAATTCAAAAGATAGTATCTTTTTCTAATCTCTCTATATTATCAAATGACCGAATTATATATTCTATTTCTATACATTTATTATAATTTTCGATGCCCTGAGAATTATTCTTATTAAAACTTTCATGCGACTTTAATAAATCTTCAAAATCATCATCTAAATTATCCTTCGAATACGAACACGTAGGCATAGTATTTAGAATTTCAATATTCTGATTATTTAGATTTTGTATCAAGTTCCAAGTTTTACAAAGATGTTTTCTGGCGATCTCTCTTTCTTCAAAAGTTAAAAATACATTATATCTAGGGTCGAGATAAATAGCAGAGCAAAAAACTTCATTTTTGTAATTTATTTCTCGTGCTTTCATAGAAACTAAAAGTCTGGCAAATGGAGTGTCTATTTTACTCGTTTGCATGAGACATTTGATCCACGCAGCATAAAAATCGCCCATTGTCAATTGTCTTTGTAAATATTTTGTCAAAACATAAGCTGGATATAAAGCTTTTAATATGTCACTAATTATTTTCCATTCATTATCTGATAAACATTTTTCGCGATCGCTTTGGAGCGATATTTCTTGACAAAAGTTTTTTTAACTCTAGTAATCTCATTAAATAGATAGAGTTCCATCTTGTGCAACAATCTATTAGTGGTTTTTTCAAATTTAATTTTGAGAGAATAGCCATTGTTGTCTGATTTCTTATTTTTTTGCAGATGTTTCTTGCTTTATTTATAATGACAATTTCATTTGAATTTTTAATGCAATCATTAATTGCTAATTGAAATGTATGTGAAGCACATCTAATACCTATTAATATGGATCTGGCATTTGATGCAAGATTAATATTTTCAATATTAAAAGGTTCTTTATTTTCATCATGAATTATATCATTATTATTTAAATCATCATTATCTATATCATTATTATTTAAATCTTTATTAATTAAATAATCGTTAAGGTCATCATCTTCTTCATCGTGTAGTATTAATAGCTTAATTAACTTAATCATATTTGCTGCATTATCGGTGGTTATTGTGTAAATCTGCTCAATTTTTATTTCATATTCTTTTAGAACATCTAGAATAATTTTTTTTAAGATATTCTGATGTGTGTCGTTCTTTAATCACTTTCATGCATAGAGTCCTTAATTTTATTTTTCCGTTATTTATAAATTGAATATTGATCCCCAATATGGACCTATCATATCTAGTTGCTATATCTAATTTTAACGAAATAAGTTTTTGATATACTTCCTTTTTTATATTTTTCGAAAAATCTAACGCCATTTTTTTAATATTATTGCGTATATTTTCCGAATTGATAGTTAAATTTCCACCCAATCCTATAATTTGGATCTATAATATTTCGAAATGCTTTGTCGTCAATTGATTTTATTGGCCTACCGTGAACTGTTATTAGCTCGGTGCAGGAGTGGATTAAAGTTTCTTTATTTATATTGATTTGTATTGTAGTAGTGTTGGACTTAAAAGCATCTTGGATTGTATTATACTGGTTTGCAGTTTTCGTTATTTGAATTTTTTTAATAGTCAAATTTTCTTTCTTTTTTCTTAATAATTTGAATTCCCGATTGTGGAATCTTTCTATATGTCGTTGGTCCCCAGTTAAGACCTTACCACAATTTTCTATTTTACAAATAGATTGATTTTTTATGATATCTAATTTAAAATAGGAACGCACAGGATTTGACTTTTCCCGAACCATTTAATAGATAACTAAAAAGCTATATGATGATAGATGAAAATCTTTTATTATATATATAGAATAAATAAAAAAGCTTAATAGAAACAATTTTACCTTCATTTATATATTTTTTAAATAACTTGGATTATAGAATTTAAATGACAATAAATAAAATGGTCAGCGATAAATATTTTAATGATATAATAATTTTTTATTTATTATTAAAATAATATGTTAGTTAGCATTTACCATTATCATATATGCAAAATAAAAAAAAATATGATTAAAGAATGGCATTTGTAATGAATATTTTTCTAAATCTGTATTTTTAAATAATAAAAATCTTACTATAAATCTTCAGTTTAAATAAGTTAACTAACATTGCATTAAATTATTTTATACTTTTATTTATTTGTGTTTTATATTAAATAGACTTACATTTAAAAATAGGAATTACATTTTGATGTTAAACTAAATATAACTAGTATAGTTTAATTCAAATTACCCACTCTGATATATTCTATATAAACTAAGATAAACTTTTTTTGAATATATCAATTAATAAGAAATTATTGTAAAACAATATTATATAAAAATTGGTCAGTACTTTATTTCTATTAGATGTTAATATAATATGACAGAATAGGTAATTTAAGTTAAACTATAGTATTTATATTTAGTTTAACATCAAAATGTAATTCCTATTTTTAATTCACTGTAAGTTTATTTAAATATTAAACACATTAATAAATAAATAAAAGTATAAAAATAATTTAATGCAATGTTAATTAACTTATTTACACAGAAGATTTATAGTAAGATTTTTATTATTTAAAAATACAGATTTAGAAAAATATTCATTACAAATGCCATTCTTTAATCATATTTTTTTATTTTGAATATATTATAATGGTAAATGCTAAATAACATATTATAATTAATTTATAATATTAGAATTCTGAATTTAAAAAAACAATGATTATAAATAAAAAATTATTATATCATTTTAAAATATTGCTGACTATTTTATTTATTGTCATTTAAATTCTATGATCCAAGTTTTTATAATGAGATAAAAAATAAACCATATAATATAAAAATGAATGTAAAAGGTACTTGATTTCTATTAGATGTTATTTATTAATAATAGAATTATATAATTTTTTCCTAATTATTAGCAGGTATTATTCTAAAAGTTTATTAATATCTTATATATAAATTTGTTAATTTAGCCAAGAATAATTATGTCTGATTTTAAGATATCTTATCTAATTAACAGATAAATTGTCTAATCTCTTATAAATTAAGTATTTAAAGAAAAAACAAGAAACCTGGTATTATTTGACATATAATGTTGATAATATAAAAATATTTAATTTGATATATAATGTTGATAATATAGAAATATTTAATTTGAAAAGAAATCACCAATTAAAAAAATGCCCCCAAGGAAAATTAAAATTTTAAATTTAGGTTAATAATTTAAAACCGTTTTAAACCGGTTCAAAATATTTATAACGGTTCGGTTCGCTCTTTTAATATTTTCTTCATAACGGTTCGGTTAAGGCTACGGTTCAGAAAATCATAACGGTTCATTCCGGTTTTGCGGTTCGGTTCGAACCCCCTGGATAAACGTATAGCAATTTATTATTTAAATACAAAAATAGGTAAATTTCTTAAGAAATAATATTATATAAAATAATTAACGATATAAATATCACAAAAAAATTAGAATTCTATGAGAAACAAAATTTTATAAAAATAAATAAAGATGGTAAATCTCAAAAAATATATGGAAAAAATCAAAATAATCCAACGTGCGGTAAATATAATAATTGCACTAATTATCCTAAGAAGAGTGATAATCGAAATCACAAGAAAAAGGATTCTAAATCCCCTAAAACTCAGCGCAAGCTCAAAGAAAAGAGTAAAACTTAATATTTTATATAATATAACATTTTTTTTTACTAATTCCTATTATAAAAATAAAGATGGTTCATCTCAAAAAAAGTATGGGAAAAATCAAAATAATCTAACTTGTGATAATTGCATTAGTTACTCTAAGAAGGGTCATAGAAATCAAAGAAATGATTCTAAATACCCTAAATCTCAGCTACAGCTCAAAGGAATGAGTAAATCTTAATAATTTGTTATAATATACATTTTTTTTTACTAAATCCTATTATTAAATTATAATAACGATACATAAATAAATAAAGATAAAACAGTTCTAAACAAAGGAAAAATGGTAACCGTAGACACAAATTGTCTCTGTTCTAATTGCCTTAAAATAAGTAAAAAACTTCACAAGAAAAATTGTCCAAAGTCCTGCAGAAGCAAATGTAATAATAGCAAGAAGAAAACATTAATTTATAATAAATCAAGATCTACCAATGATATCTAGAAATATCGCTCTGTTATGAATAAGTAGTCATCATAATATCATATAATTTTAGGTGAATATGAATAAACATTACATAATTTAAATATCTAAATTGAATAATTTTAATTTTTGAAATGAATTTTAGAGGTTCAAAATGATCTGTATTCCTTCTTTTCTTTCTAAAATTTATGAACTTTCTTAGAATCGTCTAAAATAATAATAAATTATACTATGCCGTTTAAATTTAATCGGGAATATGGTTTATTAAGAAAGAAATTGATACAAATTATTTAAAATAATCATTTTGTAATAACATAATAATATATACAAAATGGGCATGATTTTTATTTCGACATTTTATTTCCTTTGTAAAAATTGTGATGTAAATTAATAAAGGTTCTGGGTTTTGTGGGAAAAACAAAATCATGTTTATATTTACTGAGAGAATCATAAATAACATTTTCTTAACTTGAGTTATTATAACAAAATTTACATTCCCACGTGTACTTCACCTTTACTTCCAGCGACCTTGTAAAAATTATAAAAAAAATATATTTATTTTATCGAATATAATATAATATCCTAACATAGAATTTACTAGTTAATTACAAGTTTCATATAATAGTAATAAATCAATCAACTTAATCCCATCTTATTTAAGCCCTTAAAAAATAATACCTTAAAGTAATAAGTTGTTTGAGTACAATATATATTTTAAATATGGTAATTTTTAAGGTTTAAAAGAAAATATAAGTTTAAGATTTATAACGTCAATCCGTATTTAATGTAGTCACGTAATAATGAAGTTAATTAACGGTCATTTCTGAAATCTTAAATTTTCTATTCATTATTCTTGATTTCCGACAACATTGAAATTTAGATAATTTCGTGGCATTTCCGGGGTCTTCAGGCAGAGATTTTTTTGCCTTTGTGAAGGCGAGAGCATACTTTTAAAATTAGATCGTGAGGAATCTTCCTCAGTCAAGTGAGTTAATCACTCATTCAAGGCGTGATAGATTACCACCCATCCTAGGTGGAATGGTATTTGTTCCCCGAAATCTCTCTTAATATTGTATCTTGATGCTTACATTAAAAAGTGTAGCACTTCGTATAGAATTTTTAGAATTGCATTCATACTCATTCAACGTGTTATGTCAGCACGGTGCAAGAAATTGGATTTAAACTAAGCAATTTTGCAAGAAAATAAGATCTATTTCTTCGATATCCGTATCTAAATTATTTTTTTGACATAATCTATTTTACTTTAAAAATTAAGCAAATGTCAAAAAAGTTGATCCTAAGCGCAACTGTTACATATTTCTGTTATTGTTCCTATCTGATCAGAAACGATCTCTAAACTCCAATCTCTCCTATTCCTGCTCAAATCTGGTTATATAAAATCTTGCCATTTCATTTTCCCCGATTTCCTTTAACCAGCAAAGTGATTAGAAGATAATATATCTAAGATTCTTTTTCCTCTCCCCAAGGTTAGGGATAGTATGATTAAATAAATGATTTTTTTACAAAAAAATATAAATCACGAGTTAAATTAATTCTCCCTTTTTTGCTTGTATTTTAAATAATTATTTATTTTTCCTTTCAAATAAAAAAAATCTCTCATAATGCCTCATGTTACTATATATGGCATAAAAAGTTTTATAAAATTTCTAAATTTTATCATAAAAAATATTTATTGAGTCAATCCTGAAATTATTATTTTAATAAACTTCTATCAGAGACTTATAGAGGTCAAAAATTACCTACGGCGAAGTATTGACGAGGCGGCGCACAGGTCTAATTATACCTCATTTTACTATATTTTGCATAAAAAATAATAAATGTTTTCTGCCAATCCTGAAATTATTATTTTATTATAATAAACTCCCATCAGAGACTACAGAGGTCAAAATCATTCATTTTTTGGCCTGGCCCGTGTATTATTTACATACCAATATATAGCTCTTTTTCGGGCCTGGACGTCTCTGACTCCTATAAAAAATCATTTTTTGCTTAAATTTAAGGGGCTATAAAAAAATCTTTATAACAAATTGTGCCCTGATTAATAAATATATATTAGGTGATAATAAGGTTCAAGCAGAGTTATTAAAATAAAATAATCAAATATTTGCTAGATCTTTTCTTTTTGGATTTGGCCAGTTCTTTTAAAATAACCAATTCTTATACGGTTCTTTTTTTTTATAATATTTTATATATTTATTAAAAATATTCTTTTGTTGATCTAATTATCTATGAAAAATAAATATTATATTATTACTTTAATTTTTTATATTATATTTCAATATTAAAATAAATTACAATAAGATAAATTTCGTATCGTACCGCCTTTACTATTTTTGGTTCAAATTATGTATTTTATTGGTTAATTTTTCTCCAAATTACGCTTAAGCTTAAAATATATATGTTCAAATATCATAAGCTTATTAATAAATTTATAAATATTATATTAACATTCTTTGGCACAAAGTTTGATTCATTACAATATCCTCAACCAACTCATTTACTTGTTTGTAAAGATCTCTAATTAATATAAGGTATATTTTATTGAAGAAGTTCTTTATCTTATAACAAGTCAAATATTTATTGCAGCTCTTTATCTTCAATCAAGCTAAAATAGTTTTTCATCCTCAAATAAGTCATTTAATTTGTTTTTAAAGACCTTTGATTCATTATCCTCAACCAAATCATTTATTTTATTTTTAAAGACCTTTGATTCATCAATATCGTCAACCAACACATTTACTTTGTTTATAAAGATCTTTGATTCATATAAGATATATTTTATTAGAAGTTATTTATCTTATAACAAGTCAAATATTTATTGCAACTCTTTATCTTCAATCAAGCCAACAATAAAAAGGTTGCTATACTATAATTTGTTAAATATGGTATTCCATATTTTATCTTAATCTAGTTTGTTATCCCTATTCTGTTTAGCCTTAAATACACTTCAATTTAAAATAGTTTTTTTTATATACCCATCTTTTGTTTTGTAAATACATAAAAATTTAATTAATTTTTTTTGGTCTTTCTTTTGTTTTGAGTTAATCACATTAAAAGTAAAACATATGGTTTTCTTATACTTAGGGGTTTTTCTTACCTTTGGAGTCCTTACAAATATAAGTTAGATATATAGGTCTGGGAGATCGCCCTGCATCCAGAGGTATAATTTGAGTTCCGAAAAGTATAGGGTGGTAGGTATATCCCCAATTATGTAAGATAAAACCAGGGATGTGAACCCGGACCCTGAACCCTCGTATTTTGGCTGAACCCGGACCCGGACTCTTTTAAAAAGTGGAGGGTCCAAGGGTTCAGGGTGTTAAAAATTTTTAACTTAAAATTATTTTTTTTAAAATTAATGTAAAAATATAATTTTTAAAAAATAATATAAAATTTTTATAATTTTATTAATTTTTTTCGTGGAATCTCCATAAAAAATAGTCACTTTAAAACTATAATTGATAAAGCAAGGGATGTTGTAAAATATTTAAGAACTCCCACAATTGTTAGAATATTAAAATCCATGAAAAGGTAAATGGCAATTTTAGATTGCACAACACGTTGGTCCTCTATGTGTATGATGCTAGAGCGATTATTAAGTTTGAAAGATTTCTGTAATGATTCTATCATAGGAGCATGTGAAATCATTTTGTCAGAAGATGATTGGAATTAAGTAAAAGAGCTTACTAGTGTGCTGGTTCCTTTAAAAATAACAACATTAAGAGTGCAAGCTGAACAATTATGTTTATCGGATTTTTATGGCATATGGTTAAGATGTCGATTAGAGTTAGGGAGATTAACAAGTTCTTTTTCAAATGAAGTATTAGAAAATACGAAAATAAGAGAGCAACAATATTTACAAAATAGTGTTGTATATGCTTCGATATATTTAGACCCGCGATATCAGGTTTTATTAAGTAGTGAGCAAATGAGCAAAAACAAATGGCTATAGACCATCTTGAAAATTTATGTCATACCCAAAACTCTATTATTTACAATACATTGGTGGTTACAACAATATCTACTGGTTGTAGCGATAACAATGATAATGATAACGATATTGATGATCTGGAAATTTTACTATTAGATAGAGAAAAAAAAATTAAATTATCATCTGATAGAAAGGAGCAAAAAATATCTATTGTATCTTTAATAGAAAAGTTCTCGGAAGTTATGAGAATAAATAGAGATGCAAACATTTTAAAATTCTGGGAGGAAAATTCTTCAATATATCCAGAATTATATACCTTTTCTAGAATCGTCATGGCTGTACCGGCGACACAAGTACAATAATTTATGTATTATAAAAATGACTATCTATTTTAGGTAAGCGTAGAACGTGGATTTTCATCGTTGACTAATTTACGTGGAAATCTGAAGAATGATATTTTAGAAGATATCATGATTGTGCTATTGAATAAAATATTTAAAATATAAATTATCTCATTTCGAATTATAAATGTGTGTATATTGAAGTATAATAAAAAATGAATGAAAAAAAGTCTTATTTTGAGTCATTATTTTTATGTTTGCTCTGAACCCGGACCCAAACCCGGGTCCTTTTTAAATTTATTACCGGACCCGAACCCGGACCCTTTTTTTTGTCGAAGGGTTCACATCCCTGGATAAAACTAACACAACTCCTTATCGCAAAAACATTCTTTTTTTTACTTTGCGCTAATTTTATTTTAATTTATAATTGCGCGATTTATTTTCTCTATAAAAGGAATAATTTTTGTGTTTACGAAATAGTGTTAAATATGCTATTCTTATTTTAATCTAGTTTGCTATCCCTCTTTTGTTTAGCCTACACTTCAATTAAAAATAGTTTTTTTATATACCCCTCTTTTGTTTTGTAAGTACATAAAAATTTAATAAAGTTTTTTTTGGTCTCTTGTTAAGCATATTAAAAGTAAAACATATGGTTTTTGTGTTTTCTTTTACTTAGGAGTTTTTCTTACCTTTTGAGTCCTTATTAAGGTGTTCAGCAAATATAAGTTAGATATTTAGGTCCGGGAGATCGCCTTGCATCCAACGGTATAATTTGAGTTCCCAGGGGGAGGGGGGGGGGGTAGATATCCCCAATTATGTAAGATAAAACTAACACAACTCTTTGTTCTTTTTCTCACTTAGCGCCAATTTTATTTTAATTTATAATTGCGGGTTTTATTTTCCCTATAAAAGGGACTAATTTTTGTGTTTACGAGATATATTTTTATTTTAATTTAATATATTATTTTCAATAAGATATTTTGGATTGATAATTTTGATAAAATAAAGATTACGTGTCATTTATTTATACAAGCATTTTTGTAAATAATCTATTTATGACTCATACCCGATCGCATGGACTGAATGGCGAGGTGCCATCTTGTATACTGCCCGTAATTGAAGCTCCACAACTTCATAATTCAATAATATACGGTATATTTTATTCAAGCATAGCTATATAAATTAGCTATAATTGTAGATGCTAATTCCACCAAATTTCCGTATATATAAATATAATGAATGAACTACTTATTATATACGCTCAAAAGCATCATGCAAGGGAAAAGGCTTAAATGTAATATATTTAGTATAGTGTACTGCTGGATAAAATATTTTTAAATATATATATATAAACAAATTACCACCAGCAAAAATACATATCAATATCAACATAAAGTTAATAATAAATGTAAATATAAAATTTTTAAATTCATTTAGATAAAGATCCTAACAAACAATTAGTTGGTTGAGGATATTGTAATGTCAAAGGTCTTTAAAAACTAAATAAATGGCTTGTAACTATAATTTTGCTCGATTGAAGATAAGCTGCTATAAATATTTGACGTGTTATAAGATAAAGAACTTCTTCAATAAAATATACTTTATATGAATTATATCTTTACAAACAAAGTAAAAGTTGGTTGAGGATATTGTAATGAATAAAATGTTTTAAAACAAAGTCTGTGCCAAAGAATATTAATATAATATTTATAAAAGCCTATAAATGAGTAATAAGCTTAAGAAATTTGAACATATATTTTAAGCTTAATCGAAATTTGGAGATAAGTTTGGAAAAAATACCTAATTATATCTTAAAAATAAATTTCTGTGGAGAGAAGACTGCCATTGAAGCTTATATAATTCGCTGGATAGCTATGGCCAGCCTCTGTCTGAGGATAAGCCTTCAGGGGATCGTCAGTAAGGTTGCAGATATGAGATAGGCTTACTAAAGGAAAATAGTTGTGGAACCTCTTGGAATAAGGATATAATCTTCTGAAACTCCAAATATTTTGAAATTTTATGCTACCCTTTTTACTCGACTATGTTTGAAGTTTGGTTAGATAGAGCTAATGGATCTATACAAGAATAGTTCCTAACGAGAAATTGGCCCCGTTTCCATTGGATCAGGGTGATTCAATCAAACCGCTTTCCATTGGATCTAAAAAGTCCATGGTTCAAATTATTCAGGTTTTTAAAGCTCTTTGATCAAGAAATTGCATTGGTTATGCCCGAGGATTCCCTCTACATAAAAATGAATTCAATTTAAAATGATTTATAATATGTATTTTATATCTAGGATAAAAAAACAGAAATATTAAATAACAAAAACCAAAAATTCATTTCTAATAATTATATTATTTGTAGAAGATTACAAGTAAATTTAAATATACTTTTTATTGAATTAAATTTACATTCTTACGTATACAAGTCATTAAATATTTTTATGCCAAACAAATAAAAAAATTACCAGAACTGGTGAAAATATATTAGATTAGGATATCTCTATAAATTATAAAATATAAATGGGAAAATGTTAAATATTGATAATTATAAAATATTTCTTAATTAATTCATTATTTATTACAAATTCAATGATTTTAATGTAATAATAAAATAAATGCTTGTTCAAATAATAACTTCTGCCTCGGATAAACAATTTTTCTTTTTTTCATAGCCTAACTATCCTAATTATTTACTCTGGCTTATAAAAAATTTGGAATCTCTTATCAAACATTACCAATTTTGTAGTTTTTTTTTTAATTTTTAATATATGATTCAATAATTTAACACTATAAAATGTTTTTTAAATGATCGAAAATAAATCAGGGTTATTCTATATTTCTTTCCATATATTTTTTTAAACTCCAAAAATTTATTCTAAATATATCAGAGACCTGCAGGACGGCCCTAGGACTGGATACACAGGCCAGGCCCTATTTTAATTTTTTTAAATAAACAATAACCCGGACTGGGCCTAAAAAATTTTTTTGAATACCCGAGGCGGGTCTAAAATATTTTCTTAAAACACAGGTTGGGCCGTATATTCAAAATCGGCATTATTAGCTATAAAAATTAAAATAATATATTTATAAAAATAAAAAACCGGATCGAGTCGAAAAGATTTTTGGAAAAAATTCTGGGTAGGGCCATGCAAATAGTACCTCTGCAGGTCTCCCAAATATCTTAACCAAATGGAATGGTGGGTTTCTTAAAAAAATCGATGCTATATAAAATTGATCAAAATGGATTTAGGACCTTAGAATAATAATCAAGCATGAAAATCAATGGTTTAATTAAGACTGTACCATAGAAATTTGGACTAGGTGTACCGATTTATAGTTGACCAACTAGGTTTGAAGGATCCGTTCGAGTCTTTTCCTTTAATTCCTCTACTAGAGGATACATATTAATTGATTTTGAATAAATTCAAAATTTTGTAAACAGTGGTTAGGCAACTTAGCAACTATTAATATTTATATTCATTTATAAATAAAAGTTGCAAAAATTAGAAGCCTAGGCCCAAAAAAATTAATAATCTTTTATTATGATAGGGTAGGCAGATATGGTACCCTATGTTATAAATATATTAGAACAGAGTTTGGGGCTTTGCATTGAAAATTTAACATGGGGCTTAACTAGGTCTCCAAAACCTTATTCAACCCCTAGATAGGTCCAGGAAATTAAGATATTTTTTATCGGGATGGGTTGGAAATTTGTTTTTATTTTAGCAGAGGTCAGCAAGCTTTTCTAAAAATTATCTCTTGCAGGTCTCAAAGCCATAAATTATCTAATTTTATTCAGAAATTTAAAGACTTGAAACAGATACATATAAATAAATGGCATTTAAACTTTTACCAAACCCTTTTAAAATCGGCCATATTTGTGTGGCTAACTGGTAATCCAATGAAACTTATATAATTAATCCTCGTAGTTTCTTCGTCATTTTGATTGCTTTGCACAAACAACTTGGTATTTTTTTAAGTTTAAAGAAATTAAAATGACTAAATATATATAATATACAACATGAGTAAATTATAGTTGGGTAATGGCTAAATTTCAGCTCAATCTATAAGCACATTCTAAAGAAAATCCGTTAAAATTAAGAGGTTATATTAGTTTCTTTCAAATTTGAACTACTATATATTTAAGAAAAACCCCAAGGTTAAAGTGAGAGATTTCGGTTTAAAAACTCAGTTTAGCCAATTTTTTTAGTCAGCTAAAAATTGACTTAAACGAAAAATATAGTCATTACCCAACTATAGTCAAGATAAATTGCTCAATACCAGCATTGTTAATATGATAACTTTGTAATTGGGTAATCGCTCCTTTAATTGGCTAAACCGAATATGCAAGACAAAATTAACCCACAGATTTCTTTAGCATGAGCCTTTGATTAAGCTGTATTAGGTGATTACCCAACCATAGCTATCTGGATTAGAAATCCAATCTAGATACTAATCTAAAATATTTAACATGCCAGAAACAACAAATGGATGAGGCCAATTATATAGACAAATTTACAGAAGATAGGTTTCTTAATAAAAAGTTATGTAATATTTTATATCCTATTAAATTAATCAGAATATACAAATATATTTATGATATTTAAATGTTCAATTCCTATTTTATTATACAGAACTTACTTTAATTTTGTAGTTAAAACACTTCTTAAAAGGTATAAATACAATTTTTCTTTATATCAACTATTCATATGATGGATCATTTAACTATGGGAGAAAAACCTTGGAATCCCCTTTGAAAATGTATAGGAACTGAAACCCCATTTTAAAATTTCCAGGAACAGGTTCTAACAAAAATATAAATAATTTAAATATTGTTAAGGATGTTCTGCAATTTATTTTAGAGGATGCATCCTAGGAACTGTGTCAAATTTAAAAACTTTCCAGAATCTCCTTGTCAATTTTATGGACAAGAACTAGAGATCTAAAAAGCCAGGTCCAGTATCCAAGGCTATCTGAAAGAATTTACTAGTGCCAGTCCAGGCAAAAAATTACATATATATAGTTGATGAATTAAGATAATTCATTGAAGTGATAATCCATTAGGTATGTTATTAATTCAACCTAGTGATCTGCATCGGGACTAATTTTTTAAGACCAGTCTGGCCCAAAATTTTTTAAAAAGAATTTGTCCTTCCATCCCAATCCCAAACAAAAAATTTTTTCTTGCCCCAAAAAGCCAGATTCAAAATAAAAAATTATTTGTCCACCAGACCTGGCCCAAATTTATTTAAATATAGAAAAATTTAATTTTTTTTATTGTAAAATATATTCTGCAAATAAAAAATATTACCGCCTTGTTTCTTGCAAAAATTTTAAATATATAATTTATTCGACAAATCGTAATGATATCATATTTAAAAATTTAAGCCAGAATCAGCCTTGCCCAAAATTTTCTAAAAAATATTAGGCCTAACCCAGCTTGAACTGAAATTATTTCTTAAAAATAGACTGAGCCAGGTCTTTGATTTGCAGATATCTAACTCAATCTCTCCCCCAATAACATATGTATTCACTTATTTTGGTGTGTAACACCATATATTTTATTTTGGGCCTTGAATTATAAAATCTGAGATGAATAACCTTAGTAAAGATAATAAAACCCTACTGTGAAAAAACTAAATTCACACTGGGTGGGGCTAGAAAAGTTTGCCATTTGCAGACTTCTAACAAGAACCACTTTTTAAATAATATTTAGAACCAACACATTTTTTATATACTTCCAAACCTATCTAACATTTCATTTGCTACTCCAATTTTCAAATTTTACCATGAAATCATCTACAAATTACAGCCAGAATTATTTAAAATGACAAAAATATAAAAACTAAGACTAAGCCTTAGAATGATCCAAATTTTAAAAATATGTATGATATGGGCTTGAAAATGATTCTAAAAATTTATGTGAGATAAGCTTTGATCTCTGAGTACATAATTGGTTAATATGCTTTAGATAATTGTTACTGAATATTTTATGGTTTTTAAATCATTCTATACTATTGAATCAAAATGAAGTTTAACACTATAATAATCAAATATTGAAATAACTTACCGATATATTTTGGACATTTTGAAATTTCACATATTTGAGTGAAAGTGGGTTGCCTTCGGTCAAATCTTTTTGAGCTATCCTTAAGCATTATAAATTATTATAAAAAATAATATTTGATTTACTCCAATGTTTGAATAGATTCACCACTTAATGCTTTATCAAAATCTAATGTATGTGTTTGATTAATAAATAATTTTATAATCTTTGGTCCATTTTCTATAGGTCCTTTGACAAGTAATGAATGAAGTCTTATAGGTTGATTGAACGTTATATTTAATATTAACTAGTTTTGTAATAATAATATACATATGTAGATATAAATCATATTTAGTCAGAAATATATCCAGGTGCCATTCTTTTAATACTAAAAAACTTAAAAACAAGGTGATAAAATTTAATCATATTTATAATTTTATTAGAGTGAGACAGGCATTAAAAGATCAGGTAAAAAAATGAACATTAATATTTAAAATTGGTGGGATAACTGAGCTCTCAAATATTTATTAATAAGATTAAAATTAATAATAAAAATAATTAATTGATGCCTTTATCAATAAAGGTATATAGGTAAACTCAAAGGGACATTTGAAGTGCTCATATTGTGTTCAAAAAAATTTACATCCTTATTTTTTTATAAGAAAATGAAAATTTATTTTTTGATGGTTTTAAAATTTCATTAAAATGATTATTATGCATAGTTATGTTTTTTCTTAGTTATTTTATTTTGAAAAATAAAACAGATTTATTTTATTTTTTGATATTTCTATTTTATTCATATTAAAAATTGCTTATTCATGAATCCCATTTAAATTATATATTATTCTTAGTGTTAGAGGGCAATGTAGCCCAGTCTGTAGGAAAAAAATTTAAAGGTCAAAGAAATTGTGTAAAATATTTTATACAATGGGCCAAAGTTTTGAAAATACTTTCAAAGATGATAATTAGGAAAATTATTATTGTTTTACTTAATAAATTTTTTTATTAAAGGTCAAGACAAGCCTTTTAAAAAGTTTTATGGGCCAGCTTGCACTGACCTCTAATTTGTGTGGGAAAATGATTAGAGAATGAATTATGCAATTTAAAAAAATGTGCCTTATGGTGCACTCTCCTTAAGTTAAAGGTTTTAATGACAGCCCTGAAGGTATAATTTAATATTTGTATAACTTGTTCATCACAGTCCGATTCCAAAAAAGATGAATCATTTTTAAGACAGTTTAGAAATGAATTCTTATCAGAACTATTTAAACATTCACAATTATTTTTGCTGATAAAGTCATTTAAATCAATCTATTTTGTGAAATATATATATATATATTGACAAATATCTAACATATCCAGGAATTAATGATTCCTCATCATTATCTCTTGCTGATAATTGATTGATCTTATCTTCGATTATTGTCATATTTGATATATTACCACCCTGCAGAGTTTGTACCTTCATTTTATTTTGAATAATAACAAATGTTGGCATTGCAGTTATATTATGTTTTGCTGCAGTATTCTTAAAAAAAGTTTTTAAAATAAAATTAATTATTATTCAAACTCTGCATTTATCAACGTCCACTTTTAAAAATGTGACTGTTGGATGTTTATGGGCTAATGAAGTAAAGTGAGGAGTAATCGTTTTGCATGGACCACACCTACTCAATCTTTTTTAAATAATTAAAATTAAATAAAAAATACCATGTGGCATAAAAATCTATAATAACAAGCTTATTTCCCAATTTATTAATTTCATCTTCAAACATTACATCGTTTTCAACGTGTTTCAAATTCGACATTGATTTTAATGAATCAATGAATAATAGTTAATTATTTTTTAACATGCTTAACGTTTGATGTCATGCCAACAAGTAAACTGAAAACAACTTGATGAACCACGGAGAAATAGCAAGTATTGGGTAATTTCTTATTTCGAGTGGTTTCTAAGATTGTTTTTAAATTTTTTTATTTGAATTAAGGATTAAAAAAAAATTAAACAACTGTGAATAAGTTACAACATACATCCCCGCCCCCCTCCCAGTGGTAGACTTCGCCATTTTTCTCAAAATGATAGAACATATCATATTAATCAATCCCTTATTCTATCCATTTTTAAGAAATTATCTACACACAATTTCCTAACCTATAATAGAGATTTTTTAAAAAGTGGTTAATTAATCCTTTGTTTTTTTAAAATATTATATATTTTTTCATATACTATAAATTTTCAAAGTAGTGATCAAAATCTCCAAGTACGTAATATTATCCTGGATGGATTTATTTTTAAAAAGGCCTGATTAAGATTTTAGCACAATTATGGAAGACTTAAGATTTGGCAAAGCATTTCTGTTACTTAATAGCAATATCTCAAGGCTTTATTTTGACTAAAATCTTAATCTGGACGTCTTTAAACTCGATGCAAATGCCAGGATAATATTATGTAAACCTTTAGATTTTGATCATTATTTTGAATATATATAATATATAAAAAAATATAAAACATTTAAAAAAACAAACGATTAATTAACCACTTTTTAAATTCTTGTAGGTATATTTAATAAATTTTATTTTTAAAAAAATTTGTAGGGAATTGTGTGATAGATTTTTAGAAATTTTTTAAAAAAGGTAGAAATGGGAAATTGATTAATGTGATAGTTCTATCTTTTTGAGAAAAATGGTGAAGTCTACCATTCATTGGTGGAGTAATGACTACATTAATTATAATTCTTATAACCAATTTTGAATTATATTTTATTTCGAAAAGTTTTTCTAATTGTTAATATCTCAAAGACTCTAATAAATGTTTAAATATTTTCATATCAGGAAATAAGCCATTATTTAATAATTTTTTTCTCTATAATGGAAAATTACAAATATATATGAATGTAATTGATTTTAAGAAAGGTTCAAATTATCAAATTTCATTTAGAAATTTAAAGATCTCAAAAGCTGTTCAAAAATGGATTTGATTTTTTAATAAAAACAATAGTATAAAAGTATTTTTTTCTTATTATTCCAGTGGCGTCGCTAGGGGTCGGAGGTGGGCGCAGGGGCTCGAGCCCCCTGAAAAATTTGAACAGCCCCCTGAAGCAAAAAATTTTTTTTTAATGACTCCTTAATATCCTCTTGAATTAAAAATATAAATATTTTTAATTGCTCCCTGAACAATTTCTTTTATAATTCTATTGAGTAATAAGATTTAATTTTATTATTTAAAAATTAATAAGACTATCTATATTATGCGTCAAACCTATATTTAACCTGATAAGAAATACTTGAAGACGTTGGGAATTACAATATAAATTGCGAGAAGCTTTACCAATTCCTCAACAAGGATGACAAACATTTCATTACAAAAATTGAGACTCTATAATATAAAATAAATTTTATAAATCATTGAGCTAATAATATAAAATTAATATTTTTATATTACGCATACACAAGTTGTTAAAAACCACTTTTTAATTGATTTAAAAAAAAATATTTTACCAATAAAATATTATTATCAAAGCTTATAGATTTCCCCCATAAAAGGGTTACTCAATTAAATTATATAGTGGATGATATATTTATTGGTTGCATATTAGCTACTAAATAGTTGTATATTTAAAAAAGAAATGAGAAGGTTAGTTAAATATAAAATGGTAGGATTTTGTTAAACAAGGCAGGTGAGGGTGCAAGTTAATAAAATTTAAAAAAAATGGGTGGGCGATGGATGAGTGATTATTAGATATTTTTTCGGCAGAATGAGCAGAACAGACTTTTATTTATTAAAAATCATTTTTTTTTTATTTCATATTATATAAGCCTAAAGAAAATCAATTAAAATAAATATCCAAACCAAACATTAAAACATTTTTTTAACATTAAGCTAGTGGGGAGAATGATGATAGTGAAGTGAAAGATGGTATGAAATAGTATTTACTACATTCAGCTAATTGATTCAATTTCAGATTTATTTCTATATAATATGAAATGGATATTCTATAGATGATATTGGAATTCAATCTTTAAATTGGATGCTCTCATTTAGTTATCCGTGTTAAATTTTATCAACAAAGCTAGAAAGTGAAATTTAATAAAAATCCAAAGCTTATATTTGAATTAGATATTACACGTAATGATATTAATAGGCTTGGCATACCTTACTTGCGTTAACTTGACTTCAACAAACAAGATTCTAATCATTATCAGCAAAAATGGTAAGAAATTGCTTTCACTTTGCTATATAAGATTTTTAAAATATGAATTCTTGCTTTGATATCGAAAGTTTTTTATCCGCCTGATTTAAAACATCTCTTAAGAAATATAGAGACCACTTTAAAAAAAATTGCATTAACATTTTGTTGATTATAAGGAAATAAAAGATTTTTTAACATATAATGATAATATAATTGAAATTTCTAAACCCAGCATCGTTTTAGTAAAGCCCACCTTAAATCTAAGAGGGTTCAGTATTTAATTCTTATTTAAACTTAAAATTAATACAATGAAATTTTGATATTGAAACTCAAAGATTAGATGTAAAGAGATTTCATTGTATCTTATTACGACAAACATTGTTTCTACAAATTACATTGTCTAGATTTGTAATTGTTGAAAAATATACGAAATTATTACAATAAATTATCAGGACCGTTTATTTCCAAAACTAATAAGTTATATGCTAAAAGCTATGACAAAATAAATTTGTTAAATATTTTAAACAAGATTTGATTTACATAATCTAATTATTTTTAAGAATTGAAAAAAAATTTGTGAAACATAAATTTTAAGTCTATGCAAATACTCTGGGGCATGAGAATCGATATGGAAAAGTAAATTATTTACTTTACTTTATTAAGGTTATAATAATATATTTTAAATTTAAATTTTTGATTGCTACAATTTTGGAAGATTTTTATTTATAGCTTTATAGTTAAAACATTAAAATTAGCTAAGATTGTAATGTCTCGTATCTTTTATTTTTGTTTTGTTTCGCTTTATTTTGTTTTGTTTCACTTAGTTTTGTTTTGTTTGTTTCTTTTCTCGTCGTTTCGTTTCGTTTCGTTTCTACTTAGATTTATTTTGTTTCGCAGTGGTGTTTTTGTTACTTTGTTCTGTTACGCTTCATTTAATTTTGTAATGTTTTATTTAGTCGCTTCGTTTTGTTTCGCAGCGCTATGTTTGGCTTCTTGTTTCGCAGCGCTTTGCTCCGCTTTGTTATGTTGCCATTAGTTTTGTTACTCAGTGTTTTGCTTCACTTCGTCCTATTATGCTTCGTCTTGTCTTGCATTTGTTTCGATTCGTTTTTGTAAGCTTAACAAAGTCATTCCTGATAAAGCCAGGCCTAACAAATTAGAGTCTGACAAGACCAATCCTGACAAAGCAAAGTCTGGCAAAGCCATGCCTGACAAAGCCCATAGTGACAAAGCCAAGCCTAACAAAATCAAGTCTGACAAAGCCAATCGTGACCAAGCCAAGCCTGATAAAGAGAATCCCGACACAGCCGAACCTGACAAAATTAATAGTAACAAAGCTAAGTCTGAAAACCAGGCCTGACAAAGTCAATCTTGTCAAGGCTAAGACTAATAAAATCAACCCTAACAAATCCAATTGTGACAAAGTAAAGCTATACAAAGCCAAACCAGACAAAATCAATCCGAACAAAGCCAAGCTTTACAAAACCAAATTTGACAAAGTCAAACCTGATAAAGGCAAGCCTAACAAATAGGTAGGCCAGGCCAAAACGAAGTAGGTATAATAAGAACCGAGCTGAATTAAGCAAGATCGAGCTGAAAAAAGCCCTCCCCCCTTCCTAGGCAAACAAAACCCTATTGTCCATTCAAACCTTATTAAGTACTAAGCAAATCGAACCAAGCTTTTTTAAACCTTGAAGAATTTAATGAGGTAGATATAAGAATTTTGTCAATTTTTTATATTTGACCTGAACCAAATACTAAAATACTCCTCTTAGTATGATCCTGTAAATTGGTTAAAAAAGTTAAAGCTATGAGGCAGAGCCCTGATAGGCATTTAGTTTTTCCAATTAGATGAAGAAACGTAGGAAGCAGTGGGAATTTTTTTAGCGAGTGAAAGCCTCTCATGCCTCTTATTAATTTTATTATAGAGATAACTCACTCCAATTCTAGCGCGGAGCAATGTGTTGTCCCTGAATATAGTGATGTATACCAATGGAAGATTAGCTTTTTTTTAACCCCTTCCTAAAAATAAGGATCCATATATTTTAAGTCATAAAATTAATTCGATTTGTAAAAATAACTTTATGGTTTAATTATCTGGAAATTTAGCATAAATATGTTTTTTTAAACATTTCATAAATTATACCTTATAATATAAAAATTATACCGGATAAACTGGTAATTATAACCAATGGAAATCTTAATATTATTTCGACCTATTGGAACCCTCCTGACTAGGTTGTTCTTCCATTTACTAGCCTACTTTCACAAGATAGGGTCGCGATCGGTATAATCTGGGCTTAAGGTAAAATCCAAGATGTTAATGTTAATATTTTTATATAAATGTCTCAATCAATATAAATTAAATTAAATTGAAAAATACAATTACCGATCAAATGAATGCACAAATAATTCCTATACTTTAACCGACGAGATGCGAAATATAGTGTTTGGTACAGGATCATGTTTTAATACATCCATCACTCGTATCGATTGGGCAACATTAGGATTGGTAGAAAATTTTAACATATCCTTATCCCCGACGAGTCACAAGTGTACAACATAGATTATTGAAACAGGTATAACATAATTATGTCAGAACTAGGTCATTTACGATTCCGCAAATTCGTTTTACCTAC